TAAAACATAAATATTGGCCTATCAATTATTTTTCTACAGTTAAACAAAAAATTAACTAAAAACATTAAGAAGCAGAGATACTAATCTATTTAATGCCAGGTTTTTTTGTAATGAGTTTTAGCTTTACCCTTGTTGGTATAATGTAATAAAATATTAATAAGAGCCAAAGCTTGGAAAGGTACGACGAGACATGTAAACACGGACAAGAAATGAAAACACAAAGTTCTAACCACCAAGTTCTGACCAAGCGAATTCAAGTATTACTACTTGATCATTTCCAGCTTTCCCGTTGCCATTGTGTCTCCCCATTCATTATTCAGCTGGGGCTCAGTTGCGGGTTGTGCTTACGGCTCTGACAGTGCTGGGGTTCCTGCCCCCTTTGACGGTCTGTGTGGTCCAAAAAGGTCCGCAAGTCAGCTCCCCATCCTGCTCTAACCTGCTCTGGTCAGAGGCAGCCTGGCTCATGTGTGCAGGTGTCGTCCCAGGTTGCCTGCAAGGCGCCTTCTTGGCTGCCTCTTTCCCTGATAGTTTTCTGGTTTGCCAATTGCTACTATCATGGATCTCTTGCTCCCCGACATCTCGTTCATTCTAACAGTGCCCAAACGTTCCAAATAAACTCAGTCCCCGCAGTCAGAACGCATCTTCCTTGTCTGGCCCAGTGCACTAGGCTGAGGGCAGTGGCCTGTTTTCCCAAGTGACACCCTGTTGTACAAGGCAGAAATAGAGGTGCGGCACTTCTCGGCTCACCCTTCCAATTTTTCTTTTTTGGTGCTGGGGATTGAACTCGGGAACTTGCACTTGCAAAGCAGGCAGCAGAACCACTGAGCTAAATCCCCGGCCAGTCACCCGTTTTATGAAAGCTTGGGAGGACGGTACAGGATAAGGATCCAGTATCTTCAGGCTTGTGTGCGTGTAGGGTACCTCAGATTTTCCGGGCACAGGCAGAGGTGAAGGCAGCACTGTTTACTTTCACCGTGCAGGCCAGGCAGAGAGCTTGCTCCGCATGACAGACTGGATGGGAAGCACAGAAGACTCCTCCTGCCACAAGGGGGCTCGTTTTATTTTTCTGAGATTATAAATGAGATTGTCTCTTCCATTATGTCTTCTAACTGCATGTTTATATAGGGGAAAGGGGCTGGCTTTTAATTTTGTATCCTCAGTTTGCAGATATTTTCACTATCTACAATAAATTTATTGTTGATTATCTTGCAATTTCCAGGTTCCCTTCTGTAAGTAGAGAGTAATAGTAAAACTTGTGCATACCTTTTGCTTAGAAAAGCCTACAGTTTTCTCCATGATATGAGATTCTAGATTTTGAACTGAGTTATATGCATTATATAATCTTACAAACGATGCATCGATCTGTGCTTCATTTGCTCTAATCAGAAAAGAGATTAGGCTTTTTTCAAAGCCTTTTCTTCCTTTCCATTTTGGGCAGTGCTGAGGTTTGAACCCAAGGCCTCATACACACCGTTCATGCATTATCCCACTAATCTACATCTCCCACCCTGCAGAAACTTTTAAACAAATTGATAGATAATTCTTGTTTTTCTTAAAGATATTACTTTGGTCATGGTGGGTTTTTATGTTTTATGGTATATTTTCAACTTGTTTTTCTCTACCTAGTAGAAAAATTTCATGTGATTGAGGCATATGGGTAATAATTCTAGAACCAAAGGTAGAGCTGTTGTGTGCTAGTGCTCTTTTCTCCTCTTCCATTTCAGAAGGTTGAAGGTTACAGTTAAATGTTGGAACACTGGAAAAGATTCATCTGGAAGAACCAAAGTATATCTCTGTCCTGAACAAAATAAGTAATAAAAGTGGAGTGAACCAGCAGAGGTGGACTCTTATAAATTTAACATGGGCATTAGAAACCTAAAGCACATGCAATCTAAAAGTATAGCAGGAGCAGTATGAGGCCCTCAGTAGGGCTTAGCACTGGTACACTAGGAGCAATGATGAGAAGAAGCCATTTCTCTGTATCAGATCAATCAGAGGAAATCCTAAGCTAGAAGGTGGGGATCAAGGAAACTAACCAGACAGACAATCTGCTATGAAGTCTGACAGAACCATGGTCTAAGTGGGTGAATTATCAGTAGACCTCACCATGACCTCTTGACCATGGCAGGAAGACTGTGTTCAAAATCCTACAGGTGAAGCATTTTCAAGAGCTGCCTGACTGAGGACTGCTGTGCTCTCCACCACTACTGCAGGCAGGGGCCAGACAGAAGTAGTGGGGGATGCGCTAGAACTGTGGCCCAGTACAAGCTATGCCTTCTCCCAGTGGTAGAGAGGGGCGGAAGTGAATTGTGCCAGACTTTTATTTTTTAATAATGGGAAGTGGACTAAAATGTGAAAGGGCCTCAACCAATCGAATGAGGACCCTAAGTGGAGAGGTGAACACCAACTAACCATGTAGTGCAATAGGGACTGTCCACCAGGCAGGGCATGTGCACTCACTGCCCTGGGCATCCTCGGATTGACCTGCCCTCATTAACAAGCTTACGGTCACATCCATTTACATGGCATCTCATGCATGCCTTGAATTACTGATGAGTGAGGGGCAAACACATGTGCAATTCAAAATTGAAAGCAGGGTGAGGGTAAATGATGTTTGCCTTGTCACATGTATTGGAGTAGGCCGAGGACCACCCAGCTCTTCAGTGTGTCCCTCACACTTCCACCTGGTGACATTTTTACAGTGTCAACTTCTTACCCATACTCAAGCATATACTTGACCATGTGAAATAGGAAAAAAAGGGCTAAACGTGTGGGGGAAGTGGGAAGGGTAGGGGAAGGGTAATAAGGGAAAAGAAAAAACAACATGAGAAAATGGAAATAAAATATTTGTAAATAGGGAAGGGAGGAGGGGTGAAGGGAGGGCAGGGATATGGGGAAAAATGAGAACCAAGACCTGTCATGTAAAGGTACAAGATCCCAATGATGAATGTAACTGTACTGTATACCTAAAATGTACTGATGAACTCAATGAGAAAAAAAAAAAAAAAAGAATATACTCATAAGCTTAGTTTCCTTGAGTAACAGTTTTGGCTTCAGACTGAGTTTGGATTGGAAACCTCTAAAGTACCTTCTCCCTGTTGGAACAAAAGAAAGGGAGAGCTTTAATAAAAGTTGGAGCTAAGCAGGAGTGGAGGGGGTTGACAGGCCATCCTGCTGACCCTTGTGGAGTGGACATGAATTGATTAAGTCCTTCTAGGCTGGGGAAAAAGCACTGGTATGTAGACAGCTGGCTCTGCCCAGAGTGTGTAATGACACTGTGAGGGTAGGACACTGGTATGGAGAGGGAGGAGGGGGGAAGGGAGGGCAGGGATATGGGGAAAAATGAGAACCAAGACCTGTCATGTAAAGGTACAAGATCCCAATGATGAATGTAACTGTACTGTATACCTAAAATGTACTGATGAACTCAATGAGAAAAAAAAAAAAAAAAAGAATATACTCATAAGCTTAGTTTCCTTGAGTAACAGTTTTGGCTTCAGACTGAGTTTGGATTGGAAACCTCTAAAGTACCTTCTCCCTGTTGGAACAAAAGAAAGGGAGAGCTTTAATAAAAGTTGGAGCTAAGCAGGAGTGGAGGGGGTTGACAGGCCATCCTGCTGACCCTTGTGGAGTGGACATGAATTGATTAAGTCCTTCTAGGCTGGGGAAAAAGCACTGGTATGTAGACAGCTGGCTCTGCCCAGAGTGTGTAATGACACTGTGAGGGTAGGACACTGGTAAGATTTTAACAATCCAGCAGATCGGCTAACCCTTATGTATAGAAAACTTGCTAGAAATCTTGGGGAAAATATACAGTGAATGTGGCCAAAAGGAGCACCAAGATCCAGCAGAGTGTGGGTGGGAAGTCATTAGGTCAAGGTACGGTAGGTTTCAGAACTATGGAAATGAATCAAAGCAATGCTCAGCATCCTGGACTTGTGGGACCCAACCCAATTCCACTGTTAGGTAGAAAGGCGCACACAGAAGCCAAGGGTACTTCATGATGTAACACAGTCAGGGAGCCGTGAGAAGAGCTTACTACAGACAAGTATCCCTGACAGGGGAGCTGATATTGTCTTAGTTACTTGACCAGCGTTCATCAGGGGCAGACTAAACATGAGTGCCCTGGTTTGGGGATGGAGTGAACCCTAATTTCAGTGCTGAATCCAAGCAAATGGGTATATGGAAACAGAAAGCAAATAAATCAGATATGGTGACACCAAAGCCTACCAAACATAAGTGGTAGCCAAGACTCTCACACACCAAAGTAAAAGGGCATAGAGCCATTAAAATAATCATGGTAGCAATGACAACAGTAATACTAATGGTAACAAAGATGACTGCTATAAAACATTATGTTCTTACAGTGTACCACTCTGCTGTATTTATTAAAACAACTCTGCAATAATTTTATCCCTTAAATTATCCTTCCTGAAGAGCTTCAACATCAAAGAAATTGCAACAGCTATGCTGATGACTTGCTTTAGGTCCAGTTTAACTTCATTCTAAAAATTATTTCTCTCCATAAAGCTTCATTCATCCCTGATTATATGTGCTTATGCCTGCCCAGTTGGCCATCCTTAAGGGGTAGAGTTATCATATTTGCAGGAGACCAAAGCATGTGGCTTGCACAGTGTAGATCACAATGATATCTGTATCTCTGAATTTGCATATTTGAACAAGAAGGGTGGTGTAAAGCTCAGAAGGCCTTTGCTAATTTATTGGCATGTTCTAATATAGAATGTGCCTTTGGACACGTCTTTGTTTAAAATTCCAAACCTCTCTTTCTTTCCTTATTAGATCATATAAGCGCTTTCCACTTTGTTGTCTCACTGGCGTACTATAAGAATGAATGAAGTAATATGGCCTAGAATCGCCATTAACTTCCCTGGCTAAAGAATGTGGGGAAAACGTCAATTCAAATACTTGTTCCTTTTCTCCACAGGGAGGAATGGTGGGGTGAATGTGTGCTGATATTCTTGCATATTTAAAAATGGCCACAGCAATGCAAGTAAAACAACTTAATCATCTGGAAAGAGAATGCTGTGTGCAGGAATGATCCTGATGCTAATAGTGATGAGGAAGAATTGAAATCAAAGAAATCTGAGTGAATTTGATTCAACCTGTTTGTAGGAATGCAAGCTCAAGTGCCTTCGAAGGTTAGTTTCAGTGTCTGATTTTGCAAATGGATGGTTCGAGGTGTTAATCTTAATCTCAGGTTCTGACAAAAGTAAATGTCTCAAAAGCATACCTTGTTTTGACCCAGAAAAATGTTCATGCCAATTATGAGTATCAAAAGAAACTTAAACTAGTTCTTAGGAAAGTGTCTTTAGTTCCCCAAACAATTCCCACTTCTAAGAGTACACATGTATACTTTCTGCTTCTTAGAATGTAAAATAGCATGGTTTTAATGGATTAAAAAGAATATACTAGGTGTTATTTACTTGTTTGTGTGTTTGTTTTACAGTCATGTTTGATTGCATTCCACCTAAACAAGTTCAAGCCTGGCAGCTGCTGTAAAAACCAAATCCTGCAGTGGAGTAGATTTTATTCATGAACGCACAAAGTAGCTGTCAGAACAGAAGTCTGAGTGCTGTACGAAAGAGACGAGATGTGAGACAGAGCTGGTCAAGGTGAGGGCGAGGGAGCTCTCGCGCTATGGAGCCTCAGGAAAGGGCAGCCAGTGCACTGATGCTTTGCTATGGGCAGTGGGATGGAGAAAACGAGCTCGGTCTTCTGCCAGTTTGTCACGGAGCCCATTGGAGTTATCTGTTAATGAGTCTTCTTTGTTCATAGTGAGGTTCGCTGGCCTTGCCTGAGGGAGCTAGGCCTCCTCCGTGTCTATTGACAGCATCACAAAGTTCGGGAAAGCTCTCTTTACCCCAAAGAAGGCATTATCTCCAAAGAGTGTCTGCGTTTCTGAAGGAAGGAAGCTGTGAGCGGCATTCTCCCTCCTCGAAGGGCCTGTGGTCTGCAAGCTGTTTGCTGGAGCCAGAGTGGGAAAAGTTATAGGGTCCGGGCGTATGACATCATTGGAGACTTTACCTAAGCCTTTTGGGATCTGAGAGATCCCTTTGTGATCCACACTTCAGTGTAGCCTGCGCTGCTCCTCCTTGGTTTGTCCCCGTGTACATCAGCACCGATCTGTTCAGGAAGGTGCCCTGTGCTCTGGTGATGACTGTCAAGGTGTTTTGTTGGCTTGCAGTGCAGTGCTTTTCTCCCTCTGACTGGAAAGGAGTACACGCCTCTCCACGAGTCTCAAAACTCTCTTGATGATGCGCTCCATTGACAAAACTCGAAACAAACAGTTCCAGTGTATCATTACCTCCTTGTCAATTATATACATTTACTATGATGATACACATCCAAAAATGTACTAAAATGGAATATGTTAGATATCTAAATTAAAAAGAAGAAAGTACTTTAAAATAATTTTGTCTAATTTTAACTTTTAGAACAAAATTCATAATGTTCTCATGCAACTATGATCAATGATTTATTTTAAACTGGGAGAAATCTAATTGAATATGGGAGGTAGCATTAAATCATCATTATCTTTAATTTTTAATATAGATGATATAAAAGCTCACTCTCAGGATAGAAGTTCTAACTCTTCTATATTGTTGACATTTTCTTGTGTGCATTTTATTTTATGTTTTCTCTGTGTATAATTTCCAGAAATTTTACTGAACCACTTGTGATTGTTAGCTTACTTAAATCTAAATAATGCAATCAGTAAACCATCCTAGCCATCCCCATGGGAACTGCAGTAACTACATCAGATGAAAGCACCATGGGCTGGCTAGACCCCTGTTTTCTGTCCCGTTTCATCCTCTCACCGGTGGTTCAGGACTCCTAGCCGAACCCTTCAGAGCTATGACAGCACGGTGCACGTATTAACTCATAAACATGTCAGAGTTAATTTTCTTTCTTATTTTTAGGTTAAAAAACACGAATAGATGTTTAGTTTCTTTGAGTGCCTTCAAATAATTCTTATGAATCTAGCACTCCCATACCCCACTTCGGAGGCCCTTATATGGATTTCCTTAACAGAAGGTATAATTCTTTCTCGCTGCAGAACTTGTTTGTGAAAAGCTGAGCTAATTCTGTTTCCATCGATGCCAGCAATTAGAACTCAGTAAGGAAGCTTATTAGCTAAAGTACTTCTGTGGTCATCCTTTAAGGAACTGAAGCTTCAATTTTACCTGCTTAGCAAATACAGAGTTTTCTCGGGGTACATTTCCATCCACTTTACTCTGTCAACTAAGCCTCACAGGGCCCCTTGGGCCAACTGCGACACCTCCGTCTCTCTGCTTCCTTGACACGAACCAGGTCAATCTGACTTCTCTATTTCGAACTCTGCTGGTAAAAGCAGGTTTGACTAATGAATGTGAGGTGAAGTAGTGAAGAAGGGGACGTTTCTGCAACCTCCTAAAGGGATAAGAGAAAGGATAAACCATTTTCTCAACACCTGTGCCATAACAGCCTTGTCCCTGTACAGCCACTGTGCTCAAAGAAAACAGCTAAGCCATTTGATGTCTTTTATGTTCCTCCCCTTAGAGAGAGAGAGAGAGAGAGAGAGAGAGAGAGAGAGAGAGAGAGAGAGAGAAAACAACTCTGAATGAGGCTGATCAGCAGAGAAAGGTCAAGTGGAATTGCCACGGAACACTTCGTTCTAGGAGTCTTTTATCCCCCTCCATACTGGGCAAGATAAAGGGCCCAGTTGTGACTGCCACACAGTGGTTCCTTAATTGAGTCTTCCATCTTCACAGAACCAGATGAGAGAATCACTTAAAAGGAAAAATATTCAAAACCATATGCAGTTTCAGAACAAACTGTCCCAGGCACTGAAAAGTGGAGTTCTTTGAAATCCTGCTGCTGCCTCTGACACACCAGGTCCTTCCGAATCCAGCCGAAGAACTCCTGTGTTTACAATGGAGATCCCTGTAATGAAGCGACATTTGATTGTTCACGGTGAATTATACAGCCTCTCACATTCACAGCTGCATTTTCTCAGCTCTGCTCAAGTGAAAGGATGCTGTCTGCAGGGTCTGGGAATGTTGTGTGCCTGTTTCTGGGAATCAAAAGTGACCCACAGCTGAGGCTGATCTGTCTCAGAACGTCAGGCAGGGCCTGGTCACTCAATGCCACGAGAGGTGACTCTTACCGTAGTACCAGGAGACAAAGGAAATGTGCTGAAAAAGGGACCTGCTGTTTGTTGGAAACTGGGTGGACACTGGGCTTTACAGATTTACTCAAAGAGCAGGGAGGCTTGGAGTTGCCGGACAGTCCAAAGTCAAAGAGATGGACACAGTAGGATACATAAGAACAGTAGCTCAAACTTCAGGATAGAATGACCTATATTACACAGTGAAGCTCTGTGTCGTTTGATAAGGTCACATTAAATTTGCACCTAGAAATGTGAAATAACCAGGGTGATAAACAATGAAAATCTAAACATAGTGGCTTCACTAAGATATTCTCATATAATTCAAAGAAGCTGTGCAAGTAGCAAATTGGGGAGTCGTGATCTTCAGGCCCAATCACGGCATGAGGGCAGCACAGATATTTGACAGGCACCAAAAACCACGGGTGTCACAGTCATAAAACTCGTATTGCAGCCTTATATCTATCAGGACACAACTAAATGACTCCAGGCAAACTGGAGCCAGTTTCCATCCTTAAAATAAGTGAGTTGCTAAAGTCATATCCCTCTTTTATTATAAAAGCACGGTAAGAGATTAAGATAGAATGATTTTAAAGGCGCATTGATATTTTACTCTCATGAACACTCAGTCCAATTTCTAAGGAAAAAAAACACTGTTAAGGCTTTCTTTAAAGTCTTACATAAAACTCCTGCAGATTCATATGTTTAAAAGCTTCAAAAGCAAGTGAAATCTAATTGCACGCACTAGAGTAAGTTCCCAACTTACAGATGAGATCAGTTCTGGGAGAATATTTATAAGGCTGATGAAGTGCAACTTATGTACCTTTGACACAAATATACAATGTAAAGCATAAAGAAACTCCCACACACAAAATCTGTAAATAAGCTATTTTTACTTTTCAAGCTAATTTACAATGGTGGTACAGTATAGTACAAGTATACATAAAGTATTTTTAACTTTATAGTTCCCTTAAAATGGTAAGGTAGACACACACACTACATCAGAGATATGTTCCCATCTGTGAATGTTTATAATGCGAGATCTGTTCATATCTGTGAAAGTCTGCAACTTGAATATTCCTAAGTCAGAGAGTTACTGTATTTACCAAATATATATATATATATATACACATATATATATACATATATATATATGTGTGTATATATATATATACACATATGTATATAGGTATACATATGTATATATATATGTATTACAAAATTACCTACTTCTACCCCAAATCCACATGTTGAAAACCCAGCTTCTGGTGCCTTTGACTGTTACTGTACTTGACAGGATCTTTACAGAGACACTGAAGGTAAGATGTGGACATAGGGGAGCTTCCTGTTCCAGTATGACTGGTGTAAGAAGAGGGAATGACCACATAGACATGCAGAGGGAAGCCTGTGAGAGATTCTGAAGGAAGAGGGCCATCGCTGCACCAAGGAAAGAGGCCTTCATAAGAAACTACTTCTGCCAACAGCTGCAGTCAGGAGTTCTGCAGGCCTCTGGAACTCCAGGAAAACAAATTTCTGTTGTGTAAACTACTCAGTCTGTGGAAAATTGTTACGGAAACCCTATTAAACTAACATGATGTGTCACAGACATCCACATATAATGGCTCACATTCATCTGTCAATTTTCTATATATGTTGCAATTGATTTTACATTAGAAGACATGGTTTGGAATTTGCCTCTACTTTAAGGACAAGATATCAAATTCTCTGTGGAAGAAGAAAACATGACTTTCAACCTCCACAATTTTTCAGACACACTGAAAGTTGGCAAGTGTGGCAGAAAACAGAACCAAATGCCTGTGAACCAAGATAAAAATATGGACAATAGATTTCAGTTCTTGTTCAATAAAGAGTCAGTGCTACAGAGTAATCCCAGTTGTCTTAAGCAATTTGCAATTGGAAACCAGAAACAACTTTCAGAGACTACATTACAACAATTCTGGCTGATGATATGAATAATAATAGAAACAAAGGAAATAACCCAGCTAATTGTCTTGTCTTTCTGACAGCAATCTCTGGTCTGTAGTAAAGAGTGTAGAATTTAGGGCCAGGGATTTAGCTCAGTGGTGCTGCTGCCTGCCTTGTAAATGCAAGGTCTTAAATTCAATCCCTGGTACAAAAAAAAAAAAAAAAAAAAAAAAAGAATGGAAAATAGGATAGATATTGAATTTAAGGTGGCTTGAAAGGGCTAGAATTTGTAGATTAGTGTGCCAGGAAGGAGGGCACCAATCAGAGAAAGAGCTCGGTGATATGTGAGGGATACAACTTTTGTTTTTACTTGGATCTAATCTCTAACTTGTAGGAGACAACTCCAGAAAGCCAAGAAAATAAGATGAATAAAGAATATTAGTGGGGAATTTAAACTAAACAATTTCTAAAGCACTGAGAATTTTCTGAACTGTTACTAACCAGAGAAAGGAACATTTTGGGTGCACAGGGTTATCACCA